CGCCACCCATACTCCCCATAAACGGCCTCAAAACCGTTCTTCAGAAAGTCTAAGGGTGACGTCACAGACGCTTTGTCCATATTTTTTACAGTCTATGGTTTCAGCCCGACACAGTTATCATTTTTACGTCCTGCACCACATTGTTTAAATGGCAAATGCATTTGCGCCCTTTTGTTCGCCTATGGGAGTGCTGGTCTGAAAACAAGGGGGTGTATTCAGAAACATTGTTGGCGCGCCGCTATTTTGAGGCAACTGAAATAGACTGCGCCATTGACCAACTGAAACCTGGTCTAAAGTCAATGGCACAGTATTTTTTTTATTTATTTTTTGCTATTTGTAGGGAACATTAGTAATATACACCTATAGGCGGGACCACAATGCACGTACACTCTGCTTATTACACACACGGGGATAGGGAACAGCACACAAAAATGCTAAATATTGAAAATAAAAAGATTACAATGTAAAAGATTTATATTGCGTACATATATGTTGGAATCCGGCTTGTCCCGTAGATGATGCTTGCGCTTTAACCTCGCACACGTGCAGATCCGTTTCCCCTCTGGAAACGCATTCAGTCTTTCAACTTGCAAATTCCGCCATGTAAATAGCGAATCCGCCATGACGCAAGCACAACTGGCTTTTAAAGGGAATGGGAGATGAGACCCTTATTGGTTTATTGCATGTTACGCCCAAAACACACCCATTACTCATTAAGAGAATATGGACAACCCTTATAGACCATGCACTGGTCAATAGTCTTTTCTTCCCTATTGTGACGTATATCCAAGTGAAACCACAGGGAGGATAATAGAAGTAAAAAAAATAAGAAATCATGAGAGAAAAAGTGTGTTGAGATGCCTCAGCAACTTTCCCTCTGGTCTGCAGCTTTAAAAGTCCACCTCCACACCAACAGCTGATTGGGGCCGAAGGAGAGGTTAATTCTAAATTCTATTACGATAAAGCCCTTAAAATTATTGGTATTGCCATTGGTGTTGTTTTGGAAGGCCAGTTGTTTTTGTTACAAGGTTCAAGGGAAACAATGTTCTTGATTAGCCAATTGATGTGTGCCAAGATGTTGACATATGAGCATACAAAATGTGGCTACCAATTCACCATAGCCATAAACAGGATCAGGTGGTTTTGGAAGGTTTTAAGTCCATCCAGACATTTTCATTGTATAATTAATCTGGAAAGAGTTATTTGTCAAATTCAAGCCTCAGTTAGAAGCCTTGATTAGCAAGTGTCTGAGCCAGCTGATAAATGTAAATGCAGGACAGAGGGTTTGCAAACCACCTAGTGGTTCACGGTGGAACTGCAGGGGGTTTGTGAGGTTAAAAAAGCAATGGCAAATTAAATTAAATAATAAAAAAAAACCTACACAACATATATGAATACATGCAATTATATTTGATGGAATGTGTAAATTAACACACTTTATTTTTGATTAATACAGAAATAATCCATTGATTTGTTTTACTCATATTTATCTGATTTACTTTTGTTGAATATCATTTTGGAATGTATTTATACATTAATTACAGGATGAAATCCTTTATTTATTTATTTTTTCTAGTAGGCTGTGCTGTTGATGTAATGTCTGAGAGTTGTGAAATACCCACTGGGTTAAATCATTGTGTGTACTAGATGATTGGTGTTCTGAATGACACATTTCAATCAAACACTGTAAGGATTTACAATGTGACATGCTTCAGTTATTATAGTCTCTGGTAAATATGTTTTAATGAATCCGTTGCTTTAGGATTTCTTCTAACAGCGAGTCCTCTGCTGTAAACTCCAGCTAGACGACATGTCCTGCATGGACAATAGTGATTTGCATCATCGTTCCCTGTGTGGCTCTATTTGCTGACATGAGTGGCACTTCTTTGAGCCACTCAGATGAATTTTTCATGCCTGGAGAAGCCGTCGCGATCAGAATGATGAAACTGCCATGGAGTGAGTCTGTTCTCAGATGATACTGATTCAGAAGTTTGACTGAAGGGTTTTGTGTCAGTGTGACTGATAAAGTGTGGTGGAAGGGTTACTGATATGAACCAGAGCAATGGACTTTGTGAAGAAAATGTACTAATGTCTTCATTATCTCAGTTTATTTAGGCAACAATGAGATTAAATAGAGAGTGAATGTAGACTTGGGGAGCACATGCTGTAGATTAAATGGACACTTATCAATGTTATTAGTAATTACTATTATCATTATTATTATTATATAAATATTATTATTATATTACCATATTTACTTATTATTTTTACTCTAACATAACAAAATCAATGGCCAAAACAGAGCTGATCATAGATCACAAGTACATTCCAACAGAAACTACATATAGTCAAGTCAAGTCATCTTCATTTATATAGCGCTTTTAACAATGGAGATTGTTTCAAAGCAGCTTTACAGAGATAAACATACAATTTACGGTAACAGAGACTGTAAAAAAAAAAAAAACCTACAACGATACTTGCATCAATTTTAGGTTTATGTTGACCTGCTGAGGTTTTGCAAAAAGGTTTGTGAAATCCTGGGACCTATATAATCCAAAAGTTGGGTAATTTGTAAAATAAAACATATTTTATTCGAATTATGGCATTGAAAACAGTGGTGTATTAAATTAGATTTTTTTTTTAATTGCATACCTATCCAAATTTCATTCGAAATGTGACACAAGGTTTTATGCAATTCATATTTTTAGCATCATGCTTGTACTGCATTGTCAACTGCTATATTTTTGTATGAGTGGATTTTTGTTTTTGTTCAATGAAACTTCCCTGAGAACTCCATTAAGCCTTCTGAACTTTGAAACACCTTCTGTGTGATAAGCTTCGGTATGATGATTGCTTTGAAATATTGGTCTCTTTCTTGTTTTCTTAGATCTAGAGTTAGAAGTAGCCACGTAAAGGGTCAACTGATTGGTCGAGACCCGTCTGAGATAAATGGGTGGTCTATTACACTAAACTGTACTTACTGCCCCAATGACTTAACTCTACCATCTTATTTTAACCGCAAAATCTTTCTCAAAAGCTCTCCTTTTCATCTTTTCAAAGTTTCACCTCCACTCAGAAATGAGTCATTCCCCAGTCAACAGTGCCTGGTTTGACAGCAGCCGTCCCATCACAACTCACCATCACCAATCACCACATGACATGTTGACAGGTCATAATTAATGCAGAAAAATAACTGTATGGACAGACAGATGGTTACACACAACAACACATCCATTTGTCTTTGCCCAAAATAATGTGCTAGTTAAAAGCAATTAGGGGAAACTGATTTGACAGCAACAACTAGTATATCTGTTGGCATGTGTATTATTCAGTTTTAAAACTAAGGGCAACCGACGGGCACTTTGTGCTGATCTAAAACAGCACATAGTGCCCGTCGGTTGCCGACTTCTTTTACTTGACCGTTGCAACTTGGTGAGCTATCTTTGTTCTTAAATATTTTTCAAGAACATGTAGAGGAATTATGAACTGAATGAACAATAAATGGATCTATTTTTGGTGTTAGAATTTCTGTAATTTCTGTCTCCATAATTACAGTCATTTTGCAGCACCATCCTCTGGTGATATTCAGTCAATTCTGACTGAAAGAAAATTGTGGATTTTGTGCGTGTTAAAATCTGTGACTTTTGTGGCCTTGGATTTGTAAACACACAAAATGTAATATATTGGAACCGTGAGGGTTATGAGTGTGACCCCTAAATGAGGAGGGTTAAATAGTGATCAAATGATGGAGATTTTTAAACTGTATGTCCAGATGTGAGGTGTATTCAAGCAACTTTTAATATTTAAAATAGCAGGTGTAATTTTAATGCAAGTTACAGATACAACTGTGCTTTTTTTATTATGTTGGGGGTCCCTGGCAGACCGAAAGTCTGTAAGCATATGATTTGTTATATATCCATATGATTTTGTAAAGCATCAACAACACTGGAGCATTCCCTCTCTCATTTCAGTGCAGCGCTTCTCCTAATCTAATTGTGCATCACGTAAAGAGATGAAAGCTTTTCTCCGGCCTCCTGAGATTATTGGCACACGGCTGTTTAATGGCTTCTTTGATGACAGTGTAATGTGTACCTACCGCTACCAGATCTCTGCAGCGTTCAGTCTGCACAGCCTTGACTCATGGTCTTCATAAGCAGCTAATAAGATGATAAACCCCATAACTTTAATTGCACCATTCACAGATCATATGCTCTCCATCATCGTCCTCCATCACACATCTCTTCAACAGAAGTAATATGTGGACCTAGACCGAGTTCACCTAGATCAGTGGTGGTTATAAAGATATATAGATTTATAATAGTGCCAATACTTATAGTAATTAATAAATTCAAAGTTTTTATTTTTTCATTTGTATTTATATTCTTTTTATTGCATCCATCTATCTATCTATCTATCTATCTATCTATCTATCTATCTATCTATCTATCTATCTATCTATCTATCTATCTATCTATCTATCTATCTATCTATCTATCTATCTATCTATCTATCTATCTATCTATCTGTCTGTCTGTATATCTGTCTGTCTGTCTGTCTGTCTGTCTGTACATTCATTTTTTTGAATGTATACGTTATCATACAGATTAATAGTCAATATTTATACTTATTACTAAATTCAAAGCTTTTTTTTTAAAATGTATTTGAATTTAATATATATTTATTTAAAAGTTAAAATCTGTTTTTAGAAATGTACACATATTTATGGATCCTCCAAAACATTCGTACGATTCTATATTTTTCTCAATTGCTTTGGCACATTTTTCGAAACGGTCTTAACATTCTCTGAACTGTGAGTGCAAATGTCACAACTGTTTGCAGAAACTTCAAAACTTTATAGCATGTCTGCAAAATGTAGTTACTCACCCAAAACATTTAATTCATGCTTCAAAACCTAGTTATTGTGTCAATAATTTGGCCAAGGCCACCAAAATCTAAAGTATTTTTGTCATTGTGTGAGCCACACTGGTCAAAATGTTTAGTTGTTTTTTCACCACAACAGTCAACCATGAAAATTAAGGGTTTACTGTAAACAAATCTCATATTTGTTGAGAAAAGTCAATAGTATGTAGAAAAAAAAGTCTATAAACATTTGTAATTTTACAGTGTTTATTTTTGTACTTCATGTGTATATACACAATACAAGTGTATTTACTGTACATGTAAAGTAACTGACAAGAATCACTATACATTTCATATTTGTGTATTACCACAAATACACAAACAACAAATAACATCATGGGAAAAAAAAACAAAACAAACAAATTATTCTTGGTGGACATCTTGTCGCTCACGTTGGTCAGGCCAAAGATTTTCAACAACATCACATCTGATGTTTTCCATTGCCACACACCGTGGAAAAAATCTCCTTGAATGCCGCACCCATCCCCTGCAATGGTCAGCTGTGATGTCCTCACATGCAGCATTCATGGCATCCAACAAAGAAATCTGATTTTGTGGTCTATGATCATACACTTTCCACCTCCATGCTGAAAAAAACTCTTCTATTGGATTTAGGAATGGAGAGTATGGTGGAGGGAATTCCACTGTTATCCTTTCATGTGCAGCAAACCAGTCCCTAACACTGTTGGTTCGGTGGAAGCTGACATTATCCCAGACAACAACATAATTAGGCAAATGTGGTCTAACTAAACCTCTTTCTTGTTCTGGAATCAGGTCTCTGTAAAGTGCATTTAGGAAGGCCAGGAGAAGTTGGGTATTATAGGGCCCAATGTGTGGAATATGTTTGCTCACACCGTTCTCTGAAATGGCAGCACACATTGTAATATTGGCCCCACGTTGGCCTGGTGTGTCAATTGTGGCTCGGTGTCCAATGAGATTGCGACCACGTCTCCGGCCTTTGGACAGATTAAACCCAGCCTCGTCCACAAAAACAAGAATGTGGGTCGTTTCATGTACTTCTAACTCCATGATTCTCTATGAAGAAACACAGAAAAAAATGTAACAGTAAATGTTTTTTCTTATGGGTTTCTGAAATTTACAGTAAAGTAATACAGGCATTTTAGAAAAACAGGAAAACTCACTAAGTGCACACCAATGGTTTACCTGGACATACTGGTACCGCAACACCTTGACTCTTTCACTGTTCCTCTCAAATGGCACCTTATAGAGCTGTTTCATAGTCATCTGATGTCTTTTTAAAACTTTGTCTATGGTGGAAATGCTGACAGAATTTATATTTGCAAAGACATTATTGTCATTTATGATTGCACTTTGGATCTCTCTTAGCCTGATGGAATTGTTGGCTATGACCATGTTGCAAATTTCTTGTTCTTGCAGTTGGTTAAATACTGCTGCTCTGCCACCAGCGCGAGGTTGTCGTGCAGTTCTATAGAATAAACAAATTGCATTTACCTTTACAATATTGTTGTTTATACTGTAAAAATACTTTACATACTGTAAAACAAAACAAAAAAACATAATTACCTGTTTTCCCTACGAAAGGTTTGCACAATTGATGACACTGTGGACCTGTTTACATTAGGCTGTACTCTTCGACCAGCCTCTTCCATTGTTAAACCATGATTTATGATATGATCCACAAGTGTGGCTCTGATTTCATCAGAGACTCTGACTCTTCTATTTCCACCTCTTCCTCAATTATTTCGTCCTCTACCACCACCACGTATTCTTACACGCCTTCCAATTGCTCTTCCATGAGCATGTTGCTGCAGTTCAGGGTTGTGAACGTCCTCCATTCTCAAAAACTTCTACAGCAGTGATTGTGCTGTGGGCAATCTATGTATATATAGACATATATATATATATATATATATATACTCCCAAAGTTGATTGGTTAAATGGTTAAATGGTTGATTCATATTAGAGGTAATTTGCAATTAGATTGCGAATGCAATTAGAGGTCATGTGCCAATTTAGCAAACATTACAAACAATGTCAATGTCAGATATATTTTAGAATATACATTCATGTATACTAATTATGATAATTGAATAGATCGTTTTGAATGTGATGGCTTACACAATAAAAAATGTCTGAGAAGTTCTGAAGTGTTTGACAGTGTAAGTGAGAATCGAGTCATCAGTTTTGATCAACAAGCCATATGCAATTATTTGTTGTCCAAACTGCAGACAGTTGTATGTACTCTTTGCACACATGTGCCAAAGCATTTGCAATTTGCTCAAATCAATAAGAAATTCCAATCTGATGTGAAAAAGAAGCGAATTGTTTAGAGATCTGAACTTAATGTTTTGGGAAATAAAATAAAAACATTTGAGAACTGAGCCAAAGCAATTGAGAAAAACTGTATTATAAATACAATAAAATCTATTTATGAATTCAATTTTCTGTGAAACTCTAAGAATTCAACATTACATATCTCTAAGTAAAAGGTTTACATTTTAGATGCAGTCATACCTGTCAACACTCCCGTTTTTCCCGGGTTTCTCCCGTTTTTTAGCCCTATCTCCCGGACCCCTCCCAGTTTGTTATTTCTCCCGGGAAACTCCCGTAATTTGTATGGCCCAAACTCCTTTACGAATAATCGGACCATATGTTTGTCTAATGTTGACCAGTTGCCAGATCTTGTATTAAATGCATTACAATCCACACACCATACACAATTTCAACGCGTTTGTCATCCCAACCTGGCAACCTATACCCCAGTTGCAGAGTCGTGGAAAGCTCAACCCAAAAGCGAGCAACAACCCCACCCACCCCAGTCGGTCCCCGCACAAATCTCCCGGATTTTGAAAACCAAATGTTGACAGCTATGGATGCAGTCATTGTGTGCGTTTCAGAGTCTGACTGTCCAAACCTGTGAAAATGTATCTGTGCCAGAACAATATTTTTCCTATAGGAATACATATGAGATCGCATTGATATCAACCAGATATACGTTAATGCATTGGCCCTAGTTTTTCTGCTTTTGGATTACAACATATAAAGTCAAATATGCTGCAAAATGGAACGTAATTCCCAAGTTGTGCAATATAACAACCAAAATGTTGAAGTGAGTTTGTTGATGGCAAACATTATTATAAACGCTACTTTCCTTATCTTTGTGTGCGTTTACTTAATGATGTGTTCCTGTATGATGCTCCTGCCCATTATAAAAATCAAACTTTTCCATCCATTTCCCATCTGCTGGCCGTCTAAAGACCCGCGCGTGTTGAATAAATAGCAAACTGCAGGCACAATCTATTTACTGTGTTTCTCATAATCCCTTAGCATTAATGAAAATAGTCATGTTCATTAAGAAAAAAAATTGGTTGAAAGCTGGGAGCGGAGAAAACTAATTCGTACCTAGTCCTCATAATCTTATTTTCACTCTACGGTCTTGGAAGCCAATATGTTTCTTAGGCTTTGCTTTGTGTGTTCTCATATGCACGCACATTTACAAACCCATTTAATTCAACAGCCTTGATATTTAGCATCATTTTCAAAGTCTTGGCTGCTCGATTGATGATCCTGCAGGATTTCTTAATTTCCCATTGAGCTTATCGGAGTTCAATAAACAGGCTAATTATTGAAATTAGATGAATGTGTACTTTATTGATCCTCAATGCACAAGGTACCTGTATATACGACTACCAACAATAAATAAATAAATCAATTGTAAAATGAAGTGTTTAGCATTTCTGTAGGTCAAACAGTAAAGCATGGTACAAGCAACGCCACGAGGTCATGGGTTCGATTCCCAGGGGATGAACTGGCAAAATGTGTGGCTTTGGATAATAAGTTATACAGAAAGTACTGTACAGCAAACAAAGCTAACTTACCAACCGCTGATTGATGACTTTCAGGTGATTAATGACATTAAGGATTTGTGGTGTTTATGTTTGACCGAGCGAACATGTTATTTGCATGGTTGTTTGTTTTGTCTCACCCGTGGCAAACTGCCTTGTTGGCTGAATATACGCAATAATCTCTAGTGGGGATCGATCAAACGAAATTGTGGGGTAATTAAATATTGATTATAAACATGGAGAATTTGAGATGATGGATATCAAGATGTTTAAAAAAAGGAAGACAAATCTTGAACATTCTCTTTGAGCTTAATTATAAAGTCACGGTTAATGTTAACCTGTACACATTTTTAATCTATTTCATATGTTCATAATTTCATATCTGTAAATCTGTTTAATGGTGCTAGGGTGGACTGGTGTGTCTTGCATTTCAAACTGATATTATCCCAATATAGAAAACAGCCTATTAATAATGAATTAGTTACATTAGTAGGCGGCAGAATATTTAAAATCAGCTTCAAACGCTGCTTCACTTTTTAAAAAGACGTCCTTGAAAAAATAGCCGAAAAAATGTGGCAAAATGCAGTGAAGATGAAAATAAACAAACAACATGCCAGCATCTTCTGCTGCTCTCATGAAAAACTCAAATATTTCAACGTTATATAACCTCATCAGAATTAACACAGATGCCTACACACTGGCCAGTAATCAGTTGAGATAATATACAAAGACTCAAAACTCAAAAATAGACTTCATAATAAAAAAAATACTTTTTTGGGGGGTGTAAAAGTACTTTTATTTCACAGCTTTTTGCTTTTAAATGGATCCCTGCTTTTCTCCAGCATCAGTGGACTTCTTTTTTCTGAAGTCTGGTTTACTGTAGACCTGATGGGCATGACTGAGAGCAGTTGAACCATTTGTCTCAATTACGGGCCAAATACCTCTGAACGAGTCAGTGAGTGGCATCTAATGGAGTCCTGATTGGTATGTTTGGACTTTGTTTTTGTTGAATCCATGGCCAAAGAACTGATAGGGTCTCGGCATTTTCTCTATCTTCTCTCTCACTTTTCTCATGCTCAACATTCTAGCATTTTGAGCAACAGCTAGACTCTAAGGGCCAGATTTACTAACAGCTTGCGCCAGTGCAAACCCTCTTTTGGCGTTAAAAAACTACTGTCAGGATTTACTAAAGACAAGCCCAAAAAAAAGCATTTCTAAAACCAGACGCTATTTTGCGCTGCTCTTGGTAGATTGTGTTGGTCATTATGTAAATAATCGTCTCTGTGTTCTTAAATTTGCGAGTCGTCAGTAGATCACGCACAGAACTTTCCACTCCCATCAATGCTTTTTTTTTTTTTGGAATTGGCTTATTTGCTCTCTTTAGTAAATCTGGCACTAATTCTCATTTCGTTTGTGATTTTTTTTTTCTGTGTCTAAATATATATGTATATATATATATATATATATATATATATATATATATATATATATATATATTTAAACATAATCAAAGAATCCAGCTTCTAAAAAAAACATTAAGCAGCACAACTGTTGTCAACATTGATAATAATAAGAAATGAGCGGCAAATCAGCATGATTTCTGAAGGATCATGTGACACTGACGACTGGAGTAAGGATGCTGAAAAGTCAGCTTTGCATCACAGGAATAAATTACATTTTAAAATATATTAAAAAAAGAATAAATGGTAATAATATTTCACAATGTTACTGTTTATATTTTTGATCAAAACCTGTATACCCCTGACAGATAGTCGTAACGTTGATGTTACCTAACATTATACTTGATTGTGGTTTGGGAAAGGTATAGCTTATTTACCTCGTTTTTTTTTTTTTTTTTTTTTTTTTACATTTGTACCAGGGACAGGAAAAACGGCTATTCCTCCACTCTTGCCTTAGGGCTGTATCATTATATTTCTAAATGAAATTGCTCTAAAAATAAATATCCAAACTTTATATTTGTGTGAGGGAGTCCCATGTGGCTGCTGCTACTCAATTTTCCACCAACCCCATGATCCTCTGCTGCCACATGAACACCGGACTATCTACAGCTGTGAAGCTCAGTTCTCTGTACAGCCGAATGCTGAGATTATTTATGTATGAGCACAAGACCATCAGGGGCTGCTGAGCGGAAGTCAGATCTGAAACACAGGAGGCATGAGCGGCTCATGAAAGAGCTGCTGCTAGTTATTCATTCATGCACTGTGGTATGAAACCTCAAACGTTGATCTAAATGAATGCAACAATGCACTAGTAAAGCTTATGTCCCAGAAGTAGGAAATACATTTAGAGTTAAGTAGGAGGGGGTTTCAGGTGCGCCCGGCCCTCATGTTTATCAAAGAGTGGGGAATGCAACTTCAGATGTTTTCTGCCGAACTGAGAGTCATTGCAGGGTTAATCGCATAGGAAGGAACAGATGTTAGTACATTTTCTGTTGGCTGACCATGTGGACTATTATCATTAGGGCTGCACGATGTATCGAAATAAAATTGATATTGCGATATGGCTTAGTGCAATTGTCAAATTGCACAGACTGTGTTTAAATTCAAATAATATATGTGCTACTGGCTCCAGAGTGGCACAGCTCATCCACACGCGTGCAGATACAGTTGCAATGTCTCAGAACAGCTCGGTTTATTTACTGTGAATCGAGCCGATCTGTAAACACGAACTACAAGCTCCCCGCATGTAAATGCTGTGTTCACGCAATGTCCAATGCTGGCTTCACGTGCTGTCAGAATTGTCGTAAATAGAAGTTTCCTAGAAAATTGGACATGAATGAATGCTTACTCAAGTCGTATTTACTACTAGGAAGCTCAGGGATAATTTTGATATGAGTTTCTGAGTTGGGCAAGCCATCAAATTTCAACATGGCGGAGGGGAGAACAATTGCTGCTGTTACTGCTGATCTCTGTTTAGTTTTTTTTACACAACAGACGCTTGGACATTTCGTTGAAATCTTATGCACATGGCATCCTTTAGCATCAATATGAGACGCAGAACCCAAGGCGTCATACAGGTGACGCTCGTCTAAATCCAGCGCACATGGCATTGTTTAGCATGAATATGAGACGCAGATCCCAAGGCGTCATAACCGTACCCTACCCCAGACCTAAACCTACCCATAACAGTGCGTGTTATATTGACGCTAAAGGATGCCATGTGCGTAAGATTTAGACGAACTGTCATATGGCGTCACCTATATGACGCCAAAGGATGAGAATGCGTTGGAATGTATATACACTCACCGGCCACTTTATTAGGTACCCCATGCTAGTAACGGGTTGGACCCCCTTTTGCCTTCAGAACTGCCTCAATTCTTTGTGGCATAGATTCAACAAGGTGCTGGAAGCATTCCTCAGGGAGTTTGGTCCATATTGACATGATGGCATCACACAGTTGCCGCAGATTTGTCGGCTGCACATCCATGATGCGAATCTCCCGTTCCACCACATCCCAAATATGCTCTATTGGGTTGAGATCTGGTGACTGTGGA